CATCCAGTAACTCCACTACTCCTATTGGATCTAGACCAGGATAAGGTACCCTACCAAGACTGAAAACTTCCCAGCACAAGACACCATAAGACCACTATAAAGAAAAAGCCTCTATATGACTATATTATAATTAATCAATAGTACTCACCACATCGGATTTTTCAGAGTAGAGTCCATCATGAAGACTCTCTATTGCCATCCATTTCACTGGAAGTTTAATGGTTGCTGATGAATTCTTTCGTTGTCTGAAGTAATTTTGGTCATAGATATCTTCAGATAGACCAAAATCAGCTACTTTAATGATCCCATCATCATCAATCCTATACAGACAGTAGTTAATTTAGCTCTATGACTAGTGCCATTTATATTCTACAATAAGTATGATTCTTACATGCAGTTTCTAGCTGCCAGATCACGATGAACAAATTTTTGTGAAGCTAAGTAAGACATTCCATTAGCAACTTGTAAACAAATGGAGAGTAACTGTTTCCTAACATTCAGTATAACATCCTCTTCACATGTATCAGCTACTGTGAGATTAAGCCTCTCTTTCTTCAAGTAAGACAATAAATTTCCTCTTGACATAAAAGGCATGACAATGCATGGAGCTGGTCCAAGATCAAGACACACACCAATCAGTGGTAATACATTTAAATTATCAAATGACATCATTGTAATACACTCATCCAATAGAGAATCAATATCACTTTTATTGTAAAAACCTGCAATAGAAGAATTCATTTAACTTAAAATGTGCCTCATTAACTACTCTTAGTAATTATTATACCTTTTAATGTCTTTATAGCAACTGCTTGTGACATTTGATTCTTTTTTGTCATCACTCCACGATAAACTATACCAAACTCACCTAAAGTGTAAAAAATATAATAGATCCAATTAGTAGGAAAAGAAGGACAAAAGAAAGAGAGGGAAAGGCAAAAATACAAATAATTATTAAACTCCACAAACCTTGTCCAGCAGTCTCTTGCATACTAATGGTTAAGCCTGGTATTATACAACTTGACAGCTGAATCATATATTCAGATGAAATCTCAACTTTTCTGTTGGAACTAGAAGCGTAGATATTTTCTTTGTTGCTTTTCAAAACTACATGCAATTAATTATTGCATAATATTAATGACAAAATAGACCATTGCAGTAAAAATGTTCAGTAAATTAGAAAAAATTGTTAAGAATATTTTGTCAGATTACAGAGCTACTTACAAAAAGAGGAATTAGATTTAATTCTCCTGGTCAGTTGCTTACGATTCCTTCTCTTCTTAATAATGAAACAAGCAACAAATAATACTGCTGCAAACACTACCAGCAACATCAATAAAACAGTAATTGCCACTGGTACCAAAATAGATGATAACTGATTTGAAGCTGGATTAGTAGATACATTGATAACTATAGGAGAGTTAAAAAGCAAAACGCACCATAAACTAGTTTATTGATTGTAATCGTAACTGTATTGATAAGTTGATATTAAGTCCTATGTAGGTCAAATTTTAAAGATAGTGCAGTGCTGATATTTCACTTATATCAGGGATATAATAGACTAACGTAACGTAATAGGTTACGTTAGTCTATTATATCCCTGCTTATATTGCCTATAAGATTGTGAAGGCCCTGTAGGGTCTTTGGCCTAATTTTAACACAACATTAAAAATTTGTGTTTTGATCATAATGAGCTCGAAATTTCTACATAACATAAGTACATGTATACATCAAAAAATTATAAAGGTGGTATATCGTCTCCTATAAATACTAATGTTTGATGAAATTTGGCTCAAGATCCTGTATAGTACAGGGTCTTTTATTTTGTGGAAGGACTGTGTTCATCTATTAGGTTAGTAAGTTCCTTAATCTTTGGTTTTAATTTCATCTATCAAGCTTGAAGAATAAAAGTTTGGTCAAGTTAAATAATTTTGCTATTATTAGAGCAGAATTATTCTAACTACCAGTACAACTTACAGGAACATCTGACTCCTGCAACTTCCTTATCATTACAGTTGTGTTCTGTGGTGTGTGTACAGTTAGTAAGATAAGATTCACTTCCATTACAATCAACATCATCTATCACAACTGATCTATTTCCTTGTCCAAAGTATGGATCATAAAAAGCAATTCCTAAGTTAGGACAGTAACAGTGCAACCTAAAAACCTTTCCTTACCTGGACCATATCCCAGCTGTCTACATACAACACTAGCATCAGTGTTGTCCCAGGAGTCATCACAGACTGTACCCCACCTTCCATTATGACACAGTTCTACTCTTCCCTCAGTAGAGTTTGACCCATTAACAAGACGCACAGTACCAGGAGTACAAACTAAAGTAACAAACACATCACTTAACAATACTGTTATTTATGAAGCTAACCATGACAAGCTACTCCAGCATCCTTAGAGTTTCCACAGTTGCGGGTGGTTGAGTTTCTACAATTTGTCAATAACTGCTCAGTCCCAAAGCAATGAACATAATCCAGGTGGATACTACCATTACCCTGA